TGGCTGAAAATGCATATCTGTGTCCCACCATCAACTTCATGAAAAGAAGGGTACGGGTGAATCACTCAGCGGTTAAGTAAAACATTTCCATCTTTATTGTGCGTAATGACATCTTAACCATGCATCCAGAAAACAGTTCAATGAACGACCCAGAATCGAACCATCCTTCGAAAAAATATCTACGGAGATAAACAGTTACAAAGAAAAAACAATCCCACAACACTGTGATCATATGCATTATCGCAAAGTACTTACCAACTGACAAAACTGAACCAGAGTCCGTGCCGAATTGTTGTCACTAGTCAAAGATGGACGAAAAGATATCGAAGCTAAATTGTTTACGTGCTCAGAAAAGCAGGATGCATTTTACTCCGGCTTTACCTTTCATCGTTCAAATCGACTGCAGAGACTTTCTGCACACGAGAGGAGATGTCCAGAGAACAACAAGAGCTTAGTGGCCAACAGAAAACGGCAACTTCGTTGACGATATTGTCGAAAGCGTATTCAACACTGACCTCTTGTTTGAACGACCCTTCGAAACTGGCCACCGAACTGTGAACATGATCATCATCATCTGTCACATTTTTCTCTTGTTCGTCGACTGCCACATCCTTACCTTGACTCAAATCGTACTGATCGTTCGAAACAGAGCTCGCAAAAACTTTCTGCGATTTCTCTTGATCCTTTTTTGAATCTAGGCAGTTGTGATTCTGTCCCAAATCAGAATGCATTACATTTTGCGGATAAGCTGAAGCAGCGAGCAAATACTCGCATTCAGGGGCAGTGAGATCAACGCGGTTATGATTAATGCGGATCAACGATAGATCTAGCATATCTAGGCTAACAACCGGCTGTATGGTTTCATCGAGCAATATACTATCCATGAACGGGTAAGATGACGACGGATGTTCACTTGATGTCGAGTCATGCCGTTTGTCATAGTTTGACTTGCATCCTCTTGAACTGCTGCTATGTGAGGCAGTCGTTAGTGATCGATTATGGCGGCGTCCACTGAGCCTAGGAGTTGGCTGTACCCGTTTTATTTCCTTCTGCTTTTCTCTTTTGGGCCTGTTCTTAAAATGGCGCGACTTTAACGGTACCACCGACGATGGCCCGCTTTTAAATACATCTTTCACGGATAATTTCAAAACGTCCTTTATATCCTCAAGCTCAACGAACAATTCACGAGCATTTATTTGACTGATAACGTTATTGGTGTTGTTTCCACAGTCAACCGGCGAAATATGCCTGACCCGTCGACGCTTTAAAATAAAAAATTTCCTTGAATTTTTTCTTTCACGCTTTTTTTTATTGTTCGATTGAGCGACTTCTGAATCAACGGTTTGTTTGTTAACGTTTATCCTGTCAAGCAGCACCACGGGCTTCGTTTTCACCGATTTCAGTGATTCGGCGATGAACGTCAAGCTCGGCATAGGTTTACTGGCCAGTTGACACAATGGCTGACAAGCCTCTGAAATTTTTTCCTCCGATGAGTAGTCAAACAGAGAGCTGTCGCTCGACTTCAAGGGTTTATCCACTAAGTGGGCGGTGACATCCGGTTTCGAATGATGCTGTTGTTCTCTGAACATCTTGTGCAAAGATTTAGTAGAAAACTACGACTTTGATCGCAAAACAATCTATGAAATACAATGAATATAATTTGTATGAGTAACATACACAGCAATACCTACAAGCTAAATGTAAAAAAGAATGAAAGACAAAAGAATTACAAACAGCTAAACAAATATAACAATAGAAAGAGAGAAATTCTGGCTCCCTGCATAAACCGAAAATTTTACATATCTTTAAGATACATGTATATTCAGCAACAAACAAAATTAATAAAACACAATAACACATTACCTGAGTATCTCACAATAATAAATCCAGCCCCTTTTTCACGATGTGACAAGAGTTTACTTAGTCAGAATATCGAAACAGCTGAAGTATCGGGTCACTTGCCCTTCCAGGTACATAAACGACTTCCACTTTATGAAACGCACAATAAGAGGCCCACAAGCCTGCAGGCATGAACCGCAAAAAAACTTCCTGACTGATAACTTAAACAGAGATCGGTTCCCACCATAAGCTCCATGGAGAAACGCCATAAAGGCACTCGGAGTGAAAAATCACAGCTGCGATGGTCTGAGCATGTTATGCGAACGTTTCCTGATGAAAGGTCCAGAATAACCTGGATAAATGCCTCGAAGGATTCAGATCTAGACTCAGGTTATCTTCTGCTGAAACTCTGAGGATGGCACAAAATCGGGAACAACAGTCTGACGCTGCTGACACCGAGACCCAAAAATATATGTAATAGGTCTGTTTCGATGAT